TATGGATGCGATGCTGATTAACCACTGGCTTGACGCCAATGCTTTGCATGGCTTAACCCCTTTAGATGTATATTTATAGTTGTTATTTGAATTTTGAGTTTATAGGTGACCATGGGAATGTAGTACGAGTACAAGTTGGATTGCAGGATTTTTACCCAAATCTGTGTAGTTTTGATATGATATGGATTCAGTGGTGTTCTGGTCATTTGACAGACACTGACATGGTTAACTTCTTATCGCGTTGCATAGTACGTTTTCGTAGTATAACATTTGTTTTTTTTTTCTTTGAAATGAATTAGGTACCATCACGCTTCGGTTTGTTCTTTCAAGGATGGTCTCACAGACAATGGCGTAATAGTGTTCAAAGACAATCTTTCTGCACAAGAAGAATCCGAATTCGACAGCGAAGATAACAGTTGGACCCGGCCAGAAAAGCTTGTTCTAGAACTGTTTGAAAGAGCTGGACTAAGAGTAGTGACTGAAAATGTTCAAACAGGTTTTCCTAGTGGTATGTATAAAGTTAAAATGTATGCATTAAAGCCTATTAAATGTTGCGAGGAAGCATAAAGACCACATCTCACCAGCTACTGGTACTGTTGTTTGGAATTATTACTAATACTCTCGAAACTCTGTATTGTTTTTGTGAACTTAGTTTGTACGTATATGCTATTGCATCCATTGAGGTTGTGCCTACCTTTTCTCATACTTTTCAAGGTAGAAGTTCTCGGTGATAAATTTTCAAAATATAAAGCTTTCTCAGCTTCTTTGTTCACATTAATTGTTCATCGAATAAAAACTGGTTGTAACATGGGTCCGCTACAAAATTATTGGTCGAACATTAGTCTATTGAATTAAGCACAGGAGTGGGGGAATAGCGCAGTGCATAGTGATGCATATTACCAGAAAGCGAGGTTCGACCCTCTCTGCCAGCGCTCTCCCACAACTACCAGGGATACCTTTTATATTGGACCTTAGCAAAGTTGCAAGGAAGATTGCCCGACTAGCATTCTACAGTAACCATGATCAAGACAAAACTTCCAAGCAGCAGTCAAACAAACCTGCGAATTGTTTGAAGACCTTTGTGGAATGTGAGTACAAGCGAGTTAATCGAATACAGGGAGGGAAGATCATAGACTACATAGCACTTTGTTGTACAAACTTGTCTAATAAAACATTCTGCCCATCCACTTCTCATTTCTGGACTGATTTCGATGGGCTTGAGAACTCGCGAGAGAAACTGCCGATAACTAGGTTCTATGCCTTTTCTTCTCCAAGAATATCTTACTTTCACATAGCTCGAATCATATCATTCGATTTCTCGACTCGCATTTTGGTATACAACTTACCTGTACTCACTGTGAGCTGGAGCTCGCTCTAAGCTCTCATCATTCTTGCGCGCAGCCTCACTAACATTTTCCCCTACACGCTATTCGTGCACAACTAGCAAGCGAATTCAGTCCCACGATAGCTCTTTCTTAAAGCAAGAATAAGGAAGGTTGCATACTAAAATGATCACAAGAAAATGCGCAATTGAACGATTTCAAAATCAAGGAATTTCACTTCTTTGTGGTTGATAAATCTGCAAAGTAAATTTCCCGCAAATGGCGTTTCTCGTATACAGAAGTCGCTGTCTTCAAAGTCCTATAAAAATCTTCATCTAAATTTTATAAGCAAATAGCGTCTACAACGCAATTTCAAACAATAAAGAAGAATCTGCCCATTATTTCTGCTATTGTTATAGCAAGAAAAAAAAACGGCGCAGTCATATTTGTACACCTAATTGATGCCCCTTTCAAAGTGAGCTTCTACAAATATCGTCCAAATTACGCCTTCTAAAAAAACAACATCGTGTTTGAGAAAGACATTCATCTCCATGCGAAGATTGACCTTTCATTTACGAGACAGTGAGCATAGAAATCTCAGTGCGCTTTTCGTTGCTAGATTTTCCTTAGTATAACGCTATGGCAGTGAGCTTTCGCAAAGTGCCATTACAGATAACGCATTCTTAGACTTTAGGCAAGACACCTACTTTCATGAAGGAATGAACCTCAGACCTCTAATTCATAATACAGACGGACTGTCACTGCGTCATGAAATCCTCATCAAGGTGCGCGCTGGTAAATTGCTGTTAATATTATACGCTCTCTCAAAGCGAGCTTCCGTAAAGTGCTCTTCAAAAGTACGCATATTTAGAATTTCTACTGTGTTTGAGCAAAACGCTTGCCTCCATGCGGGATTGAACCGCAGACCTTCTGTTTACGAGACAGACGCTCTGCCACTGAGCTATAGAGGCCGCGTTGAGTTCTAATGGTAATCTGTTAAGGGTCATACACACTGTTTCGAAATTTATGCTGTGCAAAGTGTTCTCCTTGACTGTGTATCTTTAGAATTGGAAGTGCATATATGCAAAAGATTGCCTCCATGCGGGATTGAAACCGCAGACCTTCTGTTTACGAGACAGACGCTCTGCCACTGAGCTATAGAGGCCTTGATTCCGTAATATTTCCCAATTCGTCGTCAATATTATATAATTTTTCACAAGAACTTTTGCGGACTAATGTTTTCATATAAGTATTTTGAGCACTTCTATAATGTTTGAGCAAAACAGTTGCCTCCATGCGGGATTGAACCGCAGACCTTCTGTTTACGAGACAGACGCTCTGCCACTGAGCTATAGAGGCCTTAAGCCTATCCTGGCTGGTAAATTGCTGTCGATGCTACATGGACCTTCATGGTGAAGCTTCTATAAAGTGTTATTCTGAACTTTATAATTGTAGAGTTTGTACCATGATGAGAGGTGCATTTTCCTCCAAGCGGATCTGAACCGCTCACCTTTTTATTTATGAGACAGCCGTTCTGCCACTGAGATATAGGTCACGACGAGAGAGGCTGTTGATCTATCATTAATAATTTCTAAACTCATTTCTCATTTTCGACGAGAAACCACTGCTATCGAAGAGCGTGCGGAAAGAGAGTGTGATTTATGAAGAGGAGCAGATATCCCTCTGTTTTCCGGACAAGAGTTCCTATGCGGTTCACAGCATCGTATTCGATTATCGCTACGTTCTTTCGTGATTTTCAGTCATTCTGATAACTTAAATTGTTGTTCATGCTTATTGTACCTAGGAGCCAGTACGGAAGACTATAGAGCATACGTGGAGTAGAAGAATCGCAGAGGATATTTTTTTCCAAAAACATGGAGAAAACCCCATACATGGAGCGAAACCATATAAAACGAGCGGGCTGCAGAAGACCTGATAGAATGGACGACGTGACGTCTATAGACGTCATTGCTACAGATGGTCGGAAATCAGGGCGTCGATTTCAGTGTATTCAGTGGAAGTACGTAATCACGGACACCCGCGAAAATGTCGTGTATTTGAAAAATTCGAAAATGGTGCTATCGTCGCTGAGTTAATGAATTCGTCTGCTTCATACGTCACCGTTTGTGGCGTCAGTAATATTCACTTTTAAATTATTATTCAACTGTGATAGAACCGCTGACGCTGGCCCTCAAAAGGGTGGTTGCTGGTTCGATGCAGAACTGAGCTTCCAGATTTTGCTACCGCCAACTTCCTTACGGTTAGTTGTTCTTTGCATCGTGCCCTGACATTGGAAAGAAAGGCATTAATCAATATGTCAAAAAATAAAGTTGTTATCTCTCAGAGTGCAGTTTGAAATATCGGCCGCTCCCGCCTGTAATCATTAGAAACCACCTATACAGCAGCCTACTGAGCGTATATTGTGTTATTTTGAATATAATAGTTTTTGGCAACGGTGGATTCATCGTTGATGTTGAGGTTAGTTTGTGAACAGATTTGCTTTTAACGTTTCCAGGCATTCATTTATAAGTCACAATCAGTTTATTTTGGTATATTTCCGATGGTCAAAATCATTTTCAATGCTTTTTGATATTCCACGTTGTCTGCTTTTTGAGAGTTTCAGTAGTCATTCGAACCTCAAATCTCAACAATTTTGATACTCTAAGCTTTTCTTGCGAAAAAGCTATTATGAGGTGTTTCAGCAACAAAAAAGGATTTCTATTCAAACACGCAGTCACCGCTTTTCAGAACAGCTTGATCGATTGGGCAGCGCGATTCCCATAGGGCGCGCGAGCTTTGTTTTTTTTTTACGACTTTCTATCACTTTGAAAGAAACCATAGATGAAACTTCAACTCTGTTGCTCCAAAATTTTCTCCACGAGTTCAGAAAAAGAAAATGGAAAAATTAGGTTTCTTCATCTTTTTGACTTCCGCGGACCCAAATTAACGCGACGACAGGACATTGTAGCATCTAGAATTTCAGCACCAAATCGTTCGTTGTAGTGTCGTCGGAGCTTTTACATCGTCGCGCACGAGGCGGCTCGGCGACGAGTAATTCGCAGTGATAAATGGCCCGTGCTGTCGTCCATGGAGAAGAGGGTTGCTGGTTTGATTCCCTACCACGGCACTTTACTTTAGTTTTCTTAGTGTTATCTTTTTGCTTCCAGTACATTATGCTCAAATCACAGATACAACATATCACACTATATCTCCTATGGTAACACCATAACTCAAGCGATCAATGTGAACAGTTTATTTACTACCAATTATTCCATAAATGGATTTCGGCTTCTACATCATCCGTGACCGGTCGGTTGAATTTTTTTCCTACCTGTGCTTCTGATTTCGCTCTAACACATCTCCGAATCAACTAGTAGGAAGCTCGGCCGAGGATCCGTCGCTGAAATCCATTCCTTGGAAACGATATAATGAAGACCTGAAAAAGCACTTGCAAGGTTACGCCAGTAAACTAGGATATATTATATGCACGACGAGCAATATACCATTTGAAATGTGTGCTGGGGTTCCCACAACTAGTGAAGACGGATCATCTAAGTATCCTTGTATTTCTGGAATACTTACTTAGATAAACATTCAAAACTGATTTTATTTGAGCGTCAATTGCGCGGTATGTTGTTACAATATACCCAATAATGTGGAGTGCTGTGCAAAAATATTTGCGTCGGCCGGGATTCGAACCCAGATCTCACTCTTTCCGGGAGCGTGTGCTGAACCCGCTACACCCCAACGGTTGGCTGTTGACAGATAACGCGTTATAGCGTAAAAAAAGTGCTGCGCAAAACGAGCGTCGGTGGTGTAACGGTACAGCACACGCTCTGGGAAAAAGTGAGATCTGGGTTTGAATCGCGGCTGACGCAAACGTTCTTGTGCAACATTCCACTCAGAAGTATTCCAGAAATACAAGGAACTGTGTTGAAGGGCATATCGAACTGCAAAATAGATTACATGGATTTGAATTCTCATTCTGAACTAAATTATATTAAAAGCTACTACATTGTCAACCAAAGCGAAGAAGTTCGAATTGCGTTGTTACACCATGGATTCACCTATATTTAAAAGTAGTAAAGTGTTAGACAACTGAGCGTTTTTTGCTATGATGATTGAGTTGTAGAAGGACCTTCGATATTAGTCGACATCAGAAAGATGACATCAAAAAACTACAGTGAAGCGTCGTGGTAGGGAAACAAACCAGCAACCTTCCTTCCGATGTACGGCATCACGACCACTCGTCAATGCGGACTGCTCGCCGCTTAGCCGAAGCGTGCGTGACGATGTAAAGCTCCGAAAACTATGCTAAGAACATTCTGGTGCTTAGATTCTAAACGCTCTAATGTTGTGTCGTCGCACTGATTTGAGCTTGTGGAAGCCAAACTGTTAGGCTTTGCAACGAATTCATTTCACAATATAAAATGAAAATGGAAAGCTTAAGCCCACAGAACGGAAAAAAACAAAGTTAATTCTACGTTATCACAAAAAACCTAGAAATTCCTGCAAAACGGCGAAAACATTTTCAAATAACGAAGACACGCCTTAACACGTGCTGCATGTGAAACTTAATTTTATTTACCTCCTACTTTTACTAAGAAGACGTTTTCAAGGCCAAGTGCGCTTTGAGCTTTATAAAATCCAATCGTTCAAGTGATTACTGAAATTTCAGTCAAAATTCTTTTTGCGAGAGAAAAACCGATGCAGTTATACGATTACGAATGACGAAAGTACCGTTTTTTTTCGTCGCTTTCATCCTACCCCATGCGTAATACCGCTATGCTAATCTGCATACTAACTCAGATCTTTTGGCTAGCTAGCCAGAGTATTTACATTGTCCTTCTAGCCTGGATCAAAGGATCAGAGCGTAGAAACAGCGAGTGGCATGGGCGAAATAATCCTCATAAAATCCTATTCCGAAGTAGTACAGGATAGAAGAAGCTTAGCAACCGCTCTGAGCACCCTCGACTCGAGGTCAACTCAGAAAAAGGTCAGTTGAGTTCTTACTAGTCGCCTAAAACTCGTTACCATTTAAAGGTTTGCATTTCATTGATCTTCATCAGGCTTTTGAATTTTACTCAAAAATAGGTAATCAAATATCGGCCACTGCGAGGAGGAGATTGCTGCACCATGGAGAAAGTAATTCTTCAAACGTCTTTCGAGTGGATTTCTTGGAACGCAACCTTTATTTTTTGGCTTTTTCTTCAGGAACAAATAAGCCTACACACTATTCTGTTTAGATTGCTGAGCTCATCTGAAATTTCTGTTATTAATATCTGGTTTTGCTTTCAACTCAAAGTTCTTATTTTCATGATGGACGATGAAGCGTCTTCGTTCATAGGTGAAATAGGCATTAGCGACTTTCGCGAAAGAGCCACGAGTGTACGAGATAATCAAATCCATTATACATATACAGAGATATTATATATGATATCTTAGCTATTGAAGCGTTCGGGACAGCAATAGAAATCTATGCGCGCGCCCGAATAGCGCAGTTGTGCGCGATTTTCGATGTTTAATTAGGGTGTTTTCCTCGTTTTGTAGAAATTTTTGGGTTTCTTGTATTGCTTTGTTATAACACGATTTTCTCTACACGCACCCATGCTTTTGGTCTATAAATATGTCGGTTCTTTCTGGTTATCTGAGGACAATTGAGGTAACATCCCTTTTATTGGGAAAATACTTTCCGATGCTTTCTCAGTAATCGAAAGCTCAAATCTCTGACTACTGCGCTACGTAGGTGTCTTTTGAATCGGCCTTTCTATACAGAAGAGGTAAAGTTTTCTTATTCCACATACGCATAGTTCTCGCGGGATGGAGTCCATTCTTCGCATAATGAAGACCATTCGAAAGTGTTAGTTTCGACCAATGCAACGCTATGCTTATTTTCCATAAAGACGGTTTCACTACAGTGTAGCAGGGAAAATATCATCAAGGTTCACAAGCGCGGCGCATTTGCTTGCCGGTTAGTGTGTGTTGGCTGTTTACCGATAACGTGCGTTTGATAGGTAATGCGGTGTACAGTGTGACTTTTGTTTTCAAATTCAGGATTTTTCGCATTTCTAAAAGAAACTAGATAAAACGTATGACTCTGGTACTACAAGATTTCTATTTAGTTGTATGCTTTCCTGCTTCCAGAGAAGTGACAGAAAACCGCTACCGCTGAAAACACAACTTTGTTTTGAATGCTACAACATAACGAAAAGTCTCTTCTGATAATGGCCATATGGCGCAGTACTCAAAAATCTAAGCTTTTGAATGATTACCAAAAAGTAATAGAAATTTTTTGATTGGATCAAAACTACTTCAGAAATTGATGGGGTCATAAAATACGGAAATTCAATTGAAGGGTAATACCTTTTGTTCGTGTTTAAGGAATAAGATATCCGCTCATGGACAACGAGAAATATATACGGCGGATCATCAACAGCACCAGGTTGTGATAATTACTGGCAGGAAAGGATGTGGAAAACAACACAGGTGAAATCTTGGTTAATTACTTTCTAGTTATAACACAATGTATGGTCGAAGATCGAGCGTTCTTTCCATTGAATTTTTGGTATCTTCACTGTTATAATGATTTCTAGGTGCCACAATTCGTGCTAGAAAATGCATACAAAAATAGCAATCTTTGCAAATTGTATGCACGCAAGCATGGCGCCTATCGGCAGCACCGGTAGCAAATCGCGTTGCTCTGGAAAGCGGTGAAGAAGTTGGGTCTACTGTAGCTTAATTAGTTGGAGCAGAGGTATGGTTGCATAAAATGCTAAACATGTTCACATCACATGTCGTTTTACGTGGTCCGAGTAATGACAATAAATTTAGCTCCTTATGCTTGCTGGGTGTAATACAATGACAGCGACTTAGCAAGCCAGTCTTGAGTGTACGACAGTATACTTATTTTGTACAGAATATCCGCTGAAATGGTGCTCACTTACTGCTCTAGTGGTGTCTTAGCGCTGATGTTCACACAAAACCGATGTTCACAGCAACATTGCACATATTATCCTTGTTAATCTGCATTTAGAACTCTGATTGAAAAGTTTTCTAATTCCGTCATGCATGAAATACCGAGTGTTTCAGGATAAGATTTGTGGAGAGGCAATTAATTAACATCTGTTAAACAGGTTTTGAACAATGAAAATGACTTGCACGTAATTTCTTGCTTACACTTGTGCAGCTAATACTTATCTGCGCTCTTTGAGAGTTAGATTAATTGAATGGATGCTTCATTTCAATTTCAAATACGTAGATTACTTTGATGTGGCTACTAACGTGTTCGGGTCTGCAATGGAAATCGATGCACGCACGCGAATAGCGTAAATGCGTGCGATTTTCGTAGTTCAATTAAGATGTTTTCCAATTTTTGTGGAAATTTTTAGGTTTTTTGTATCGCTTTGATACAACACGATTTTCTCTTCACGCTCATGTGCTTTTGATTCGTGAATATGTCGGTTTTTTCTTGTTACCCGGGCTAATGGAGAAGCATCACTTTCGCTGGAAAAGACTTTTTTTTACTTTTTTGAAAATCGAGAGCTCAAATCTTTGCCTACTGCGCTACTTATGTTCTAATAATGCCGTGGCAGAAAGAAAACGTATGTGTTTCACACACGCATATTTCTCGCAGGACAGAAGTCTTTCCTCAATTTGTAATCAAATATTTGGTAGCGTAAGCTTCGACCATTCCCATGCTATGCTTATTTTTTTAGAAAGACGTTTTACTACAGTGTAGTAGAGAGAATAATATCAGATTTCACATATGCGGGAGTTATTTTCTGGCTAAAGTGTGAGCTGGACGTCTGCTAAGCGTGGATCCGATATGGCGTTCCACGATCCCTTCAAGGCTACTCTAAAGTGGAGTGCATTTTTTGTCATTTGATTGGAATTTTCTTCTTCGTTTTGAAAGAGACTTCTGTTATTTTTTGAAAAAATCTATGAATCTGATGCTACAAGATTTCATCTACATGTTCATATGCTTTTCGTGTTTCCAAAAATAAAATTGATTAGCGCGCTGACGGTGCGGAACGTAATTCTATCCCTAATGCTACAGCTTTATCAAAGGATCTTATCATAGGTAATGACGTCGGCAACTAAAGTAATATTTATTAACAACTCTTTACAACTAATTACGAGTTCCTTTTTATTTCTCATTACAGATGTCGAATATCTCAAAGAACCAGGCACTTTCACAACTACTACGTAAAGCAAACCATTCGTAATGGTACCGACGCACATAAAGTGTACCGCAGTCTATTGGTACGCCTAAATACTGCTATCTTGTTTTTAGGATTTGTATCAGATGTTTAAAAAGTATGAAAGCAATACTTGAAATTGCACAAATTTCCAAAACATTTGAGCGCCATTCGAATAATCAAAATTTCGGCAGACATTCGAACGTTTGATCCGACTAGAATTATTAATTTCTACACTCAAAAGGCTTTTAGTGCTGCTGTAAAGTCAAGTTTTGTCAGTGAAATGCTGTAGCTGTTAGAGACACATTTCTTCATGATGTAGCTATTGTTGTCTACTTTTTCTCAAATTCACTCAAAATCGCTTATACTTCTTGCCATGTGTAATCCTTTACTTTTTCTTAAGGCCAAGATTACACACCTTTTGATGCACTAAAGCCGATTGCACTTTCGATTTATCATGCAAGTGCTCGTCAGATTTTCAAAAACTGAATTCTTTCCAACTTTCAGACATTGCCATTTTGACGTGAACGCATGATGAATGTATTTTTCATTC